GGTGGAGGTTGCAGTGAGCCGAGATCATGCCACTGCACTCCAGCCTGGTGACAGAGCGAGACCCCATCTCAAAAATGAAAATAAAAATAAGTAAAGTCCTTGAGTCACACTTTCTGTCCTTGAGAATTTTGTAGGTATTGTTCCATTTTCTGTTAGCATCAAATATTAATGTGGAAATTTTCATGATTTTTGTTTCTCTTTTAAGTGATTTGATCTTTTTGCCTGGTTGCAAGAACTCAGAAACCTTACTTAAAGGTGTATCTTGGTACTGCCTATTCTGAATTTGTTTTCCCTGGGATACAGTGTGACCTTTCAGTATGTACACCCCAATCCTCTTATAGTTCAGAAACATCTTAGATTCTATCTTTATGAACTTATCTTTACATATTTTTCCCATTCATGTTAAAAGTTTTCTTTTATGCAAATATTACATCTCCTTTGCTGTCTTTTGTAACTGTTTCTTCTCTATTTCTTTTAGCCCTTTTTGGTTTCTTTTTTTATTTTTCATTTCTCTCATTTTGTTCCCACTGTGTTTTTAGCAGTCTCTCTTCTCCCTTTGCTTCTTCCAGTTTCACCTTCATTTCTATAACAGTATTTTTCCTTTCACTTCTTTCCTCAGTTCTGCTAGTATACAGCTTGTCTTCTCTTCTCGTCTCCCTACCTCTGCTGAAGTTCTTGTATTTCTGCTTTGAGCTCTCATTTCATAGAAACAACTATTTTGTCAAGTTTTCTTTTTTTCATTGTGTAAAATATTTTATTACCATTGTATCTAGTCCATGGAGGCCCTTTTCCAGTGTGTGGTCTTAGTCTGCCATTTGGTTTTCCTATTTCTTTCCTAATTTTTCCTCGCTGTATATTTTTATAGATCCTGTTTAGATTTTTTGTATACTTAAATAGGCAAGTTTTCAGGGACCAGCTGTTTGCAGGATGCTTGCTGGGGGAGCTACCAAAACTGTGTTCTGGGCTGGCTACAGTTGTTCCCTTGATTTAGGGTTCTGGGTGAGTCCGTGTACCCTTAGTCTCCAGCCAGCCAATCAAGATAGGCAAGGTGTCTCTTAGCATCTCCTCAATGCAAAGGCTGTCTTCTCTACTACCATGGAGACCACGTCTGTGAGGCAAATGTAGCTTGTGTGATTTCTCATTTAGCCTCAACTTCAGGTCCAAGGAAGTTCCTGCCTTCTCAAAACGAGGAATTAATTTGGTACCGGAGTGTGTCCTTTACTCACAGGAAGTGCATATTTTTGCAGGTCTTTCTGAGATCTCCAGCTTCCCTGTCCTCTCCCTGTAGCATCCTTTCTTCTTTTCCTTCTGTGAAGCAAAGGAGTCCCTGCCGGAGCTCCCTGCTTTTGACAGCTTTTTCACCTGTTTGGGGGTTTGGAGTTTTGGATATCCTATAGTTATAACAAAAATGGAGTTTGCATTTCTATTTCTTCTTTTTGCATTTGGAACACATTTTGAACAGCATTTGAAAATGCTGACTTTATGATGCAGTGTTAAATAAGAAGCTTTAACTGACTTTTTCTGTTAACCAGCCACTAGTCTCCACGACATCATGTGTTAGGCCTTTTACTATACCTTCTCCATAAAGCCCCCACCACCACACTGTTGTCGGTCTTCGAAGTCCCTAAAGCCCAAGGAATATGCTACTCAGATATATGGAAAGCCTTTCATTCTTTCAGCATGCCTACTCAGAGCATTGTTCTAGGCCTTGGAGATAAAGCATGGAAGAATTAATACAAGATCTTAACACACCAAAGTCTTAAATGATTTCATGTGGAATAGGTGTCAGGGATGAATAGAGTGGAAGACACAGTTTGGGATTCTGAGGAAGTACAATAGAAAGGGTAGAACATGAGCTCTGGAATCAACACCATTCTGCTACTAACATACATGACATTGGGATCATTTTATTGCCTTTTCCTCATACATAAAATGTATCAATTTATTCATATATAAAGACAAGGCAGGCCAGGCGTGGTGGCTTACGCCTGTAATCTCAGCACTTTGGGAGGCCAAGGCAGGCGGATCATCTGAGGTCAGGAGTTCCAGACCAGCCTGGCCAACATGAGGAAACCCCGACTCTACTAAAAATATAAAAATTAGCTGGGCATGGTGACAGGTGCATATAATCCCAGCTACTCAGGAGGCTGAGTTGGGAGAATCGCTTGAACCCAGGAGGCGGAGGGTACAGTGAGCCAAGTACACAACACTGTTTTCCAGCCTGGGGAACAGAGTGAGACTTTGCCTCAAATAATAATAGTGACAATAATAATAGTAGTAGTAATAATAATAAAGTGAAGGTTACATTACCTACCTTAGATGAATGTTGTAAAAGTAAGGTAAGTTACATAAAGTACTTGGTTCATAATAGATGCTCAACAAGTACTACTTTCTACCCACACAGGGATTGGCTAAACAAAAGGAATAAATACAGGTATTTATAAGTACAGGTATAGAAGACTGTTTCTCTCCTTTTTTATTAAATTGTGGTAAAATATGTAACATAAAGTTTCCTGTCTTCACTATTTTTAAACTTACAGTTCTGTGGCATTAAGTATGTCCACATTGTTGTGCAGTCGCCACCACCATCCGTCTCCAGAGCTCTTTATCTTGCAAAACAACAGCCCTGTAACCACTGCCCTCTTCCCCCTGCCCATGGCAGCCCCCATTCCAGTTTCCGTCTCTGAATTTGACTACTCTGGGTACCCCATAGGAGTGGAATCACACAGTCCTCATCCTTTTGTGTGTGGGTTGTTTCACTTACAGTGTCTTCAAGGTTCATCTGTGTTACAGTGTGTCTCAGAATTCCCTTCCCTTTTACAGCGTCTCAATTCAGATGGAAACAAAACAAAACAAAACCAAAAAAACAGAATTCCTTTCCTTTTTAAGGCTGAATAATATTCTGTTGTATTTCTGTGGCACATTTTGTTGATCCAGTTGTCTGTTCATGGACACTTGGGCTGCTTCCACCTTTTGGCTGTTGTGAATAATACTGCTATGAACATGGGTGTACACATTCTCTTCAAGTCTTTACTTTCAGTTCTTTTGAGTGTGTACCCAAAAGTGGAATAGTTGAGCCATATGGTAATTCTGTTTTTAATCTTTTTGAGGAACCACCATACTGTGTTCAGAGGCCTATTTATTGATGGGGACAAGTATAAACAGTGGAATTCCCCCAGGGAATTATTTTAAAACCAATCTTAACATTTTGTAAATTATCTAAATATGAGACTTTTACCATTAAATCTTTATTTGCATATAGCTAATGAATAATTCATATTGTATAAAATGTAAGAACACCTCGTGAGAGTGTGTGTGTATGTAGACAGAACAGTAGTTAATAAGGCTCAATGTGGGCACACATACACGGGAATACATTTGATTTATTATACTCTGTCCTCAAGATCAGAAGTTCCCTGCACTTCCTGAGGGCAAAATACAGGGAGCCAATGCCAGAGAACTTCAGATGTCAGAAGTGCACAGTGCCCAGATATGCAGACACATCTTTCTTCTTGACTCTGCATTGCTTACAGAGTAAACTGGTGGTTGACTGTAGACTCTAGACCAGTGGTGCTCAGCTGGGGTAAGTTTGCCCCCTGGAACACATATGACAATTCTGGAGACATTTTTGATTGTCAAGCTGGAGGAGTAGAGACCAGGGATGCCAGAGAACAGGCCACAGCGACAGGACGGCCCCACAGCAGAGAATTTTCTGGCCCGAGATGTCACTGGTACCCAGGCTGAGAAGTCCTGCTCCAGACCTAAATTACCTTCTCAGCCTTGTCTTAGCCTCTCTCCTGCGTAAATAAAGTTGCCATCCCAGTCAGACCCAGAAGCTCCCCATACCTGCCCACACACCAGCTGAATTGCTCCTTCCAACACCTTCTACCTGAAATTCTTTCCCCTGCTTCTCTAATGTCAGAGCCCAGCTTCAGTCCTCCCACTGTCTCTGTGAAACTCTCTGATCTCTCTAGCCACAGTTCCCTTTCTTCTCTGACTTCCCCAGGATTATCCCAATCATTTGGCACTTAGTTAACAATAGAAGGTTGTACTTGCTATCTTCTCACCTTGACTGAAAGCACCTTGAGGGCCATTTGATACGATTTGGTTTGAAATATGCAGTACCATTCCTTATGAACCCCAGTGGGCATCTCTGCTTTGACCCACCCAGGGCTTTCTGTGACAGCTTTCCTACTATGATGGGGTGCAATGGTTGGGTCAACCTCTGTCCCATCACAGCGGTTAGGTACACTGAGATTCAGCTTTGTTTAGATAACTAGCTAGATGGAACCTAAGCCCAAATGTGAGCCTTATGCTTAGAAAGGTGTTTATGCTGAATCTGCTTTCTAATCTAAGCAGTAAGAAATGAGGTTAGGAGAGGTGCAAAGGAATTGGGCTCTATCTTGCTCTGATCACGTCCCTTCAGTGGAGCACAGCCTGGAGGATCTGCCTTATGGAAGGTGGGAGACATTCATTTCAGTTGCTTGGATAGGGATTATTCTGTCATAACTGGACCTACTTAATGACAGTCAGTGTTGACGATGGTAATATTAATAATGAAAGCCATAATTACTTACTTGGAACCCAGTGTGAACTGGGCACCAGGCTAGGTGCTTTACACATATTTATCTCATCCAGCCCTCACTGCAATCCTGGAAGGAAGCTGAAGCACTTTAAAGATAATTTGCCCAGGGCCACCCAGCTAGCAAGTAGCAGAACCAGAATTTAAACAAGAGCTGCCTGACTTTGAAGCCTGTGCTCGTAGCTACCACCTCACTGCTGAGGGGAGAGATTCATGTTGCCCTGTGCCAAGACCTGGGAGAGACCCCTCGTGGTGTCACAGGAGAGGTGGATGGGCAAAGGGGCTTGAGTGTCTGAGTTCTGAGTCAGGACCTGTTGTCATATCTGACCACTGCTGCTGCAGGAAAAGGAAACCTCATGGGTTACACTTTGACCACCACAGAGTATTCTGACTCTTCTGATTTTTGCTTCCGCTTTAGGTGCACTACATCCTCCAGGAGGTGGTGATGGGTGGGATGGTGTTAGAAACAAACATGAATGAAATCGTGGCTCAGATTGAAGCTCAAAACAGGCTGGAGAAATCTGAGGTGAGTAAGCAACTGTGTTCTAGCCCTGGCTGGGTAGAGAAAACCTGGGCAGAGGCAGGAGTGTGTACATGTGTTGGTTTGTGTTGCTGTGAAACCTCAGGAAATGATACTCATCTTCTTTCTTCCTTGAGTCCATTGAAACTCATGGATTTGAAGGTCAACCAGCCCTGAAAATTAAACAGATAACAAGGTTTGAAATCTCAGACTTTCAGGGTAAAAGAGTAAATAGAAAAGCCAGATGGCAGAGGAAAGCAAACAGCTTTTGGCTTGGGGGTTATGACCCATGTTTGCGGTTTGTAATTCCTCCTTTGAAAGCCACTCGTTCCCTGGAGGGACCCAGAACCCTCTTCTCCTATTCCAGTGTGGTTTCCTAGTTTGTGTGCTCTAAGAGTCTGATCTCCCAGCAGCCATTTCTCGTGGTGTCTTTCAGACCTCAGAGTTGCCAATTTCCTTATTTCCAGTTAGCCTTATAAAAAACTACAGTAGAGTTTGGGCTAGGCTTGAAAATAACATACCCCAGTCCACCCCCACATGGTACTGGGCTTGATACAGATGTTCACATAAATTCTGTCCTATCCCTCTGAGGTCTCTCCATCCCCTTCCTCAGCCTTACCAGAGCACAGAGGTTACAGACATATACTTTCACATGCAGAAATAGCAGAACAAATTACCTCTTTAATTATCTGAGGGTCTTAAAGAGATTCTTTGCCTTGTATAACGGAACTTGATCTTGCGAAACCAAGAATAATTCTTTCTGTGAGGACTAGCAGTCCTGCGGAAGAAGCTTTTGCAGACCACAGCTATTGTGACAGCTATAGTTCTTTCAGAAATGTAGGCTGGGAAGATTCCAGGAATAGTAAGTGAGTCAGAGGCAAGGGGGTTGGAAATGAGAAGAAATGGAGACTTGCTGGGTGAGGGCAGAATTGGAGTTGGCATTCGGAAAGAAGGCAATAGGGGAAAAATGATTGTGAGAGAGTCTTCATCCACTTTTGCCCTTCTCTCCACATGGGGATGAGCCTGCCAGGTAGGGGGTTCACTGTAGATGTGCATACTCTGCGTTTTGTCACCAGCCCTTCTGTATCTGTGATACCCCCCACCTTCTCCCAGCTTGTTGCCACACGACACTTCCAAAGCCAGCTCTTTTCATTTCACATTATTAGTTGGCAAGCAGTTGCCCTAGAGCCATGGCTTTTCTTTTCCTTTTAAGAATTTCCCTGTGACTTTGCACGTTTCAATAAGAGTCTTCAGTCTTTTGAGGGAGGGGTTTTGTTTTGTTTTGTAACCAGAAAAGTGCCCCTGACAAACCACCTTAGATTATTTCAGCATTTTTTGAGTACCCACCATGTGCCAGGCACTGTGAGATGCTGGGGCTGTGAAACTGCATAGGCCACACCCCACCTCTGAGGAACTGGTAGTCTAGTAGGACTGCAGGCTTTGGATCCCTGTGCCAAACCCCATCTAACCTCAAGATTGTTTTGTTGGCTACTTTTGAGGAATAAGGGGGGAAAATTAAAACTTCAGTTGTGTGTGCTCAGTTTGGAATTTCTCTAGGCATCCCTCACCTGTTATTTTGTTTGTTTGTTTGTTTGTTTGTTTGTTTTTGAGACAGAGTCTCTCTCTCTTGCCCAGGCTGGAGTGCAGTGGCGTGATCTCAGCTCACTGCAACCTCCACCTCCCAGGTTCAAGCGATTTTCCTGCCTCAGCCTCCCTAGTAACTGGGACTACAGGCACCCGCCACCACACTCGGCCAATTTTTGTATTTTTGGTAGAGATGGGGTTTCACCATGTTGGCCAGGCCAGTCTCGACCTCCTGACTTCAGGTGATCCACCCACCTTGGCCTCCCAAAGTGCTGGGATTACAGGCGTGAGCTTGTTTGTTTTTGTTTTTGCTTTTCTTTTCTTTTCTTTTTTTTAGCGTTAAGCAAGTAACACTGAGAATTTGTCTCATACTCGCCTCTCATTTCTTCTCAGGGTGGCCTTTCAGCAGCCCCTGCGCGGGCTGTGTCTGCTGTGAAAAACATCAACCTGCCAGAGATTCCTCGGAACATCAACATTGGCGATCTCAACATCAAAGTTCCCAACCTGTCCCAGTTTGTCTGAGGGTCAAGGATTGGGCTGAAATAGAGTCCTTAAGACAAGCAAAGACAAGCACGTCTGGAAACAGAACCCATTTTGAGCCATAGAAGAGTCAAGCCTCAGGACCTGGAACCTTTGTGTCTAGGGAAGACTGTTTGGCCTGGAATGGGGAAGGGATTCCTATTGATACTGCTCGGGTGTGCCCAGTTCTCACATGTGCAGCCATGCCGTTCTCTGATGCACACGGCCGCTGCAGATGTGAGGGGCCCTGCCTTCCTCAGCAGGGAGTCAGCATGCCCAAGCCACTCGCACCTTTACCTTACACACGGACGCTCCCAAGGGTTAGGGACTGCATTGAGCAGACCTACCTGCTTCCCAGAACCTCCTCACTAGGGCTGAGCACCTTCTCTGACTGGAGTCTTCATCCTTAGCACCACAGACTTCCGAGGTCCCATGGCCTTTACTTGCTGGTGAGGTGTCATAGGTAGAAATGGGCTGGCCCTTCAGATTTGGGGGTGTGGTGAGTGGCAAGTAAGGGCAGAATTTTAGAAGAACCAGGGTCACCTGCTGACTCTATTGAGATTGTTACACCCAGAATCCTTTTGTAGTTTTTTTGTGGGTTTTTTTTTTTTTTTTTGAGACGGAGTCTTGCTCTGTTACCCAGGCTAGAGTGCAGTGGTGTAATCTTGGCTCACTGCAACCTCTGCTTCCTGGGTTCAAGCAATTCTCCTGTCTCAGCCTCCCCAGTAGCTGGGATTACAGCACCCACCACCACGCCCAGCTAATTTTTGTATTTTTAGTAGAAACGGTTTCACCATGTTAGCCAGGCTGGTCTCGAACTCCTGGACCTCAAGTGATCCACCTGCCTCGGCCTCCCAAAGTGCTGGCATTACAGGTGTGAGCCACCATGCCCTGCCACCAGAATTCCTTTTGTATAGCCGAGCCTTTTGGTTACCACCTCATGAAGAATATGCTTCCTCCATTGTCCTAGTCCCAGTTGTATTCTCTGTGCAGGACACGATCCAAATCATAAACCTGGCACATGCCCACCACATTTCTGCTAATAGGGAGAGGGACCCACCACACACCCACACATGCCAGAGGTCCCTCCTCCCAGAGGAGAGGCCCTGTGTCTGTAGAAGATTAAAGCTGACAACATGTGGAACATCCCAGAATTATGACTCTTCCAAGTTTAAAATACATTCTCCTCATGGGAGCAGAAGGTTCGTTGCTGTGTTGTGAATGATGAGCTGCCTCCACAGGGAACCCACTGCCACCTGGGCCAGCTTCTGGAGCATGAGAACCTGAGCCAGGGTCACCCTTTTGGGGCCTGGACATGACGCATGCTGGCTATGACTAGGAGCAGGGCTGCCTCTTCTCCCTCCCGGAGCTCTGCTTGTGGGCACGCCCTGTTCCCTCAGGTGCAATTCTCCCAGAGCTTAGGTGCCCATAAATGTTCTTACTGTGGTGGAGTAGGGCCTCCTGCTCCCACGCTGTCGCATGGGCTAGATCTCAGGTGTGCTGTTGAGCCACCTTGAGATGAGGACTGCTTCGCAGTAAAGTTTCCAGCCTGGGCCCCTCTCGGGCCTTCTGGTTGGGGACTCTCAGCCTCCTGATGCTGTTGCAGGGCAGGTCTGAGAGGCTGCCCAGCAGCACCCCGTGTCAGGGCCACCTCGTTTTCCATTTTTGAACAGCGCTCCCTGTGGTTTGTGCCCACTGCTCCATACAGCCTCTGATCCTCACTCTTGAAAGCTCCATGATAAGCTCAGAGATGGGCAATGTGGATCAGAAGGTGGGCCTCTTACTGTGGAAGAGGGAAGTGTAGGTGAATAGATGTCAAAACCCCTGATAGCATTCTTTTGAAGGGTTGGATTTTCTTTTTCTGGCAGACATTTCAGTACATTCACATTTCTCTCATTTGCTGAATGTGAAATCAGAATAAAGGAGATCAGTGTTTATTTTGTACCTTCTGTAAGTTGGCATGAGCAAGATCATTCAACAGTCCTTACAACAGACATTCTTATCCCCATTTTGCAGATGAAGGAAGTAGACCCAGTTCCAGTAACCTTCCCTTAGGTTACACAGGGCTGAGATTTGAGACTGCTCACTTGACTTCATTGTCCTTTTCTTTCCTCATTGCTGAAGATGGCTTCTCCCAATGTTATCATCTTTTTTATAGATGAAACTGAGCCTCAAAGAGATTAAGTGACTTCTCCCAAACCGTGGTCTAAATAGGCTTGATTTTCTAAGGTGGTCAGTGACCATGTCATAGAGTATAAGAGCCAAAGAGTCTTCTGTGTCCCTCCATGTAACTGAGGTTGAAGCCAAAGCCCAAGGTGGTAAGTGTTACGTTGAGGGTCACAAATCCAGAGCTACATCCCTCTTCTTGAGTTCGTTTGTTATGTGGTTTAATGAATTACTGCAGGACAGCCCCTGTGCTAGATTTCCTGAGATAGCCTTGAGATTTTGAATGTTTTGCCTGCCAGAAACCAATGGTTTTAAAAAATCATTGAGTGGTCCTACAGATTCAAAGTGGGCATCAAAACATCCCTCACACTGCCTCTTACAATGGCATAAAACTAAAGCCCGTTTTTTTATTTGGAAAACTCAATCCCTTTGGACAAGCCACAATAATTTTTCATTAACTGCTTAAGCTTGCCTGCAAATTCAGCTAGCTTTCCGGCCTGCTATCAGCAAAGCCATAAACATCTTTTTAAAAAATATGTTAAGGTTGGCCAGGTGCGGTGGCTCACGCCTGTAATCCCAGCACTTTGGGAGGCCAAGGCAGGCAGATCATGAGGTCAGGAGATCAAGACCATCCTGGCTAACACAGTGAATCCCCGTCTCTACTAAAAATACAAAAAATTAGCCAGGCGTGGTGGTGGACGCCTGTAGTCCCAGCTGCTCAGGAGGCTGAGACAGGAGAATGGCGTGAACCTGGGAGGCAGAGCTTTCAGTGAGCCGAGATCATGCCACTAGACTATAGCATGGGAGACACAGAAAGACACTGTCTCAAAAAA